CACCACACTCCTCGCCACCACACCCCTCACCATCACTTCCCTCGCGACTACTTCCCTCGTCACCACACCCCTCGTTGCCTCACCCCTTGCCGCCACAATACCCGCCGCCGCATTGCCCGCCTCTACATTCTTCGGCGCCACACTCCTAGCCACCTCACTACCAGCCACCACACTCTCAGCCGCCACCACTCTCAGCCATCACTTCCAGCCGCCACCACTCTCAGACGCCACCACTCTCAGCCGCCAACACTCTCACCGCCACCCAATAAACCCCTCCGAATTCTTTGCAGATGCACTTGGGTACATATTCTTTCAGTTTTATTCCAAATACTGTGCATATTTTGGGTTAATAATATTGAAACAAATGTGTGGCTAATGTGGCAGTTTTGCCATTTCCTCACGGTTCAAATTTTTTACTGTAAATAAAACAATGGAATAAAAGCGTGTGAAGGTTAAAGTATAATATAAGATCGGGATGAAGAAAAAAAAACATACATAACTATTCTGCGTCCTCAAACAAAAGAGAAACCTAATACGAATCTTTTCATATGTATCGTCACTATATTTTACAATAATTTCTTCACAAATGTATTTTCTTGTACTATCCGTTGTTTTAGAAGAGTTAACTATGCTGTGTGGAAGAATTTCCAATAGAAGATAACGTATTTTTCTATATTTTTCAGATGAATTTGTTGGAAGCGTGGGAATGGAGCTGTATTACTAATCGGTGAGTTTCCGCTACACTTTTTTGTGCTTTCTTTGAAATCCCAGGAAGTGCAAGAAACAAGTAGAAGTACATTGTACGATTATTGGTTACTGATGTTCTTGAGATTGTCAAGAATATTTTTGTGAAATGGGGCAAAACATTTCAATATGAAACAATGCAATTTCTCGCATCACAGAGGCAGCTTCCCTGGAAGAAGGCTTTATGCGAGACGTGCTCCGTCATTGGAACTCGCCCATGGTAATATTCAGACATTTCTCAAACAGATGTTATCGAACGGAAATATAAATGAAATATCGTTGCGAAAGCTGCATCTTCAAGTATTGCAAATAACTACTTAAAATGGGGCGCGTACAGATGTTTTAGACTTCCACGGATATTACACGTTATATTATCATCTATTTGTAATGTTTTCACTAAGAGGTATTTGGAATTATATTGAGAGAAAAGTGTATGTTTGAAAGAGTTCAGTTATTTAAAATATATGAAGCATGCTATATTCGCTCTGACAATGTTGGAGGTGTTTCATTCACACTCTCGGTACACAAAATATCTATATTCAAGCTACAAAATAGTCTAATGTGCGTTGGATCAAATAATTATGCATCTTGGGGCACACTATTGTATATTTAAAAACCTGGGTACTAGAGCTGTTCGTGTCAAAATTTTGCAATACGAGAGTATTTTCAGTTTGTCTTGCAGTATCCAACACTCCACTGCACGTTTAAACCACTTCACTACCACGGTGCATTCATGCTCACTAAGCCAATGTATCAGAATGTATTTAAAATTATTTTACTATAATATTACGAAATATATACAATGAAGACCAACTAATTGCAGCAAACTAACTACCAACTGATTTACTAGTTATTTCACTGCTTGATCTGGAGCGCAATACGTTTAAAACCTGGAGAAAAGGTCCATGGAGAACGGTGCTGATTCAAATGCCGTAATCCTGGACGACCGAGGCAATGCCCTGTGTGCTTCTACCTCGGTGTCCAATTGACATAATATGGCCTTTTGAAGAGTGAATTTTCAAAGTCACGGGTCTCTATTTCTATTTTACGTATCAATGCAATATTAACATGCTTCTCTTACATGCCGCTAAGTATTGTGTTTGGATATGGCGTTTCATCTGTGTTAAACAATATGCAAAAAACGTTGGATCTTGATTTAAAATATAACTCCGAATTTGAATGCTTTCCCTTCGAAAAATATATTTATTGGAGATACATCACTTTCCAGTTAAGCTTTTCAATAATCATCAAGCCAGGGTGATTACAATTGCTTGTGAACTTCCTTTACACGGGCGTATGAAAGCTGATTTCTCATGATAGAGTCAGCGTCGCAATGACGTTCATCTGCCCAGAGACAGAAAACCCGGACCATCTGGACAGAGATAGAAAACCCGGCAGTGAAGTCAGGTGCTAATCACTGTTTAAAAATAGCCGAGAGAACTAGTGGATGTGAAGCGTTCCTGTGCTTCGAACAGGAGAAAAAATGATTAATTGTCCCTTAAATGTCAGATAAGACTCTCGTAAAACACGTTAAGAGGATTGACACACGAGACCATGTGTTACGGCCTGACTGACGCGCGAAATTCGGGAGAAAATAATATTGTCGTGGACAAGGGGTTACTTAATATGCATGTGCAGTTTGCGATTTCATTATCTAATAGGGAGTAATGAACAAATAATTTTAAATTGCTGACCACTGCTCATCGTATATCGAAACTTTGTGTTGAATATGTATTAATATTTTCGTATTCTCCTTAAAACCCACATATGTAACCTCGACAAAACGAAGAGTATACGTAACATTCTCGTGGAAAGCGAACGAAAACTGGATCAAAATGGGAAAGACCCAGAAGCTGGGAATGTTTAAATAAATATTTTCTCAAAAATGTTTGTAACTTTTTTATTGCATATTCTTCTCGTGTGTATCATAGAACGCTAAAAGTGGTTCTGTTCCCATTTTCGGCCCATCTGTATTTTAAAAATTTAACATGACAACGGTACACTATTTATGATATATATTTGTGTCTGAAATGAAGCGAGTACTTTTCGTGTAATTTCTGGCTGAAGTCCTATTTATAACTAAGAATACTTTCTCAATAAGCTCAATTTTTAAACGAAAATTATATTTTCACATGATAAAGCAAAGGACGCGTAAAAGTTGGCGCAGGTTTTAACTTCGTTTAAGTCGCTGAATTTTCGAAAATTAATTAATTAAAGTAATTAAATGACGGTGGGAATGAATGAGTGGTTGAAACGTCGCTAGTTACTGTCTCACAAGGAGAAAACAGTGTTATGCTCTCAAAAAATCGACCTCGGGATTTTGACGGAAGTACTAAGTTTAGGAATCGTCATACCGAAAAACTATTTTCTTCCTGCCTTTTCGTCTGTGACCAACATTAGCACTTAAGCCTTTACCATGCGTCCCACTAAAATTGATATTCGCTGATAGATCAGGCTCTTATATCGCGACGCGAAGAATTCGCGACACATAATTGACTCTACACGAACTACGTAGTTCCTTTAAAAATGTTCCGAAATATAGCTCCTGAAAAACTCATTTTCTGAAAACTGTACGGATAGAGCAATGTTCGCTTAGAGACAAGGCGTATTCATATTAAAATCTGTCGGATTTGAATTTTTGTTAAATGCTGGCAGTCATATGTTACGCAAAGAGATGTATCGAAACATGTAGAAAACCTTCTCATTACGGGAATAGTAATATTATTTTATTTGCAAGAAATAACTTTACTTGAAATACTGTTCGGAGTTTTTTTCTTTTTTCAGAAGCATAAATTATGTGATATAAATTACTAAACCGCTCAAAATTGATTTTGCTCTGAAACAGCTCGAAAATTCGATCTGAAATGTAAAAAGAATATTAACGGAAAAACTACTCTCATCAGATTATAGAAATACGTATGTGCATCATGGCTAACACAGTTCATATGTTGTCGGATGTGTTTTTATTTTTAAGCTCATTTTAAATTTCAGGTTCAGTAATGTGATTCTCATTGCGTCTGTTGCAAAATTGAATAATAATTAAAGCATGTAAGTGTCGCAGTAAATGAAAATTTGAATGATTTTAATTGCTTTTACGCGAAACTTCATTTTAGCGAATATTACATGACGTAATCGAAATCAGGGTTTTGTGGGGTATAGCAATGTTTTGTGGGGCGTATTTCACAGCATCCTATTGAAACAGAATTTTATACTCAGCACGAATAGAGACACTGCACAAGTTATGTGAGGGATGTTGCTTTGGTTCTTCACAAAATAAGTGGCTCTTGAATATTCTAGAATATTCTATTCGCTGTCTTCTAGGTGTTCTATTTGCTTTTCCCAAGAAAATATGAACATAGTTTAAGTGCTAATCCTTAGATTCATTATTTGAGAAACTGATTCCGCACAGAATATTGCAGCGAACTGATTTATTGTCAGTAGATCTATCCCTCATATTTTCCATTCATAATGAAAAAAAACTGTAAAATTTGTCGTGAAATCTGCTCTATTGTGACTAGCAGGAGGACATTTTTTTTGGAGACTCGAAACAACACAGAAAAAAGTGCCCATTCAGAAATCCACAAGTAGATTGCCTTTTTTCGAAACAGTAGCGTCTGACCACTTTCTCGATATGCAATCATTCATTCTCCTAGCAAAATACATCAACGCTCAACAAACCAACAATAGTTTCATGTCAATTAAATATTTGTAGTTCGGCGTGTTTGAAACGTATATTGAGATTTTTTAGGGTACTATACATGAGGCCCCATACCATACATGAATCCTCAACAAATGTTTCATAATAATAGCTCCAAACTTTGTCTTCGAATTATGTAAATCACGCTTTAAAAAAATTGTGTGTGTTACATTTTCGTTGAAATCCCTGATTACTCGAAAATTAAAAACATTTTTCGGGGCCGTTTTTTCTACAACTATATGAAAGTTGCATTTTTTCCTTTATAAAATCTCTTTTTCAAAGACGGATTTTAAAATACAAGGTCATGTGCAATTTTTAGAAAATGAGACGTTTTAGCGTAATTTTGGGTACTAGGCAATTATTATATAATTATTTTCCCATTAACGGCTAGAATTTTTTAATAATATCCTCCTATCTATAAATGAACAGTAAACAATTATTATCTTGTCCCCTTTCCGCCGATCTCTCTGTATTTTCGAATCTTACAACTAGTGGTGCTAAAACAGCTCATATTGCTCCGGCATTTGATTAGCGTTGAGCCAAGAAACCACGGAAAACCAGCGATCAGAACAGTCGGCCGCTAGAATTCTCCTCCAGAAAGTGGTTGAATTCGACCTAGCTATGTAGCTACTGCCGAAAATCCTTCTATGGTCGAAGTTCAAACCCTAGTACCTTCCGGTGAGGGCACTTCACTTACATCAACTGATGCTCTGAGCCACCTAAGCCGACAGTTTCTGTTGAACTTTTTGAATTTTTGAAAATTTCAAAAATTCATAATATTTTCGACATCACAGGTTGCAATTCATCAACTGCAAAGCCGCGACACGGCTGTTTAGAAATTCTTGGAATTACTTCTCAGTGTGTGGCTGGAAACAAGTTTATTACGAATAATAATAATATCGTATAATAATAATATAATCGAATAATAATATAATATAATCGTTTAACATTATGTAATCGTCACTAATGCGAGAAGGTACATGGCGACGTAGCATCGCTGGGTAATTTCTTCTCTACAAATGTAAGTACATGCTTAGCGTCTTACAGGCTAATTAGTTAACAATTATTTTAGAGATGGGAAAATATTTTACATTTTTCTCGAATCTGTTTAATGATTTTTTCGGAGCCCACTGCGGGGTCGCCTAAGCAACTGGCCACTTGCTTGTAGGTAGCTCCGGCCCTGCATGAGAACATGAAACGTCATCCAGTGAATATGTCTCCACCATACCTTTCTTTTTTTGCAAATGCATCTCTCTCGCTTACTACTGTTCTCGTAAAACGAGAAA